CGGGCGATTAGAACTAATCGCCCGCTACAGCGGGCGATACGTGATTAAACGTCCCTGTTGAAACAAAAGAAACCCGGGCAACTATGCTATTATAAAAATAAATCGGACAAATTCTGTCAATTTTTTGGAAAATTTAGTGAATTTTGTGGCCAATCTAGCCGAAAAATTTTGGTATGTCCGGAAAATTTTTTTGACCCCTTTAAATGGTACACTGACCGAAATGTTTTTGGCGACGGGGGGTGGGAAGGGGGTGGAGGTCGCCAAAATAATCTTTCCGGGAAAAATTTTTTGGTACTAGTCGGGCAAAATCACGAAAAGTCGGGCAATTTTACGAAAAGTCGGGCAATTTTCTTTCCGCCCCCCTAATTTTTTCCTTCCGGTACGCCCATGACCTCGTTCCCAGGCTCTTTCCTCTTGTATGGCGTGATTGATGACGAATCGCTTGTAAAAACGCGGACAAATACTTGCTTGAGTGACGCTTCTGCTGTACCTAAGTACCTTCTTATTCTGTGAGCACGAGGTTGACTCACTGGGTTGACTCTTGATCATAGCTCTTGACCTATGCTCTTGACATTCGTATAAAAATAGGTACGCAGTAGCGTACAAAGAGTTCGGAAACTTCGTAAGGGAGTGGTCATTATTTATGGGGAGGGGGGGTTGGGAAATGGGAGGGGTGAGCATACCTAGTTTTACCCTTATAATAAATAGGGGGGGGGGGCAAAAAAGTTTTAACACAGAGAAAGGGGGGGCAAAAAAGTTTTTGAACTTAAATACCATGTCTAGAATTCCGATTTCTATAATCACAAATAGCAAAAAAGAAGACTCTGAAAATGCTATTTCCAACGATCTAGAGATTCAAAATTTTCAAAATTTCCCTGCTCAGCGTCAACCATGGTAGTGCCTCGCGATCGCGATCATGGGGGTCGGAGCTTCCTACCCCCTGAGTGACCCAGTTGTGGTAAAACATACCATGCAAGTACACTTAACTGATCAGATTCGGTCTATCAAAGCACAATGTAACACTGTATATCCAAAAAGATGTTTCCGAAAATGCTCATATTTCAGTTCTAGGGGTGGAAAAATACACTGAATTAAAAAAATGTCTGAGGGAGAATTCCCCCAGACGCCTTACTAGTACATACGATACCACACCAAACTTTTTGTCACCAACAACCATCTGTCATCTCTCCACACTCAATATAGTATGGTCTCTTTTTGTAGATGCCCACCCCCCAGACAAGTTCTTAAAAAGCCCTGTGTTCAAATCATTTTGCTGTATGAAGACGGGCCATGGGTTAGGGTTATGGTGGGACAAATGTTGCATTGCAAAGTAGTAACACATACTATATATTTTTTAATCATATATGGTTGAATCATATTCACCAGGGTAAAACATCATGAGCTAGATTAAACAGATTGTCCTAATATCTAACTTTACCTGCAACGAACACCTGTTTCATTGCCGTTAATTTTTCAATCCACACTGGGGGGGGGGCAGAAATGTTTCTACTTTTATGAGGGGGGGGACAAAAAGTTTGCCTTCAGTCTGGAGGGGTGGGGTCAAAAAAGTTTTCAATCCTTATTTTCCCCATTTACCAACCCTCCCCCTCCCCATAAATAATGACCACTCCCTAAATGCGCGGGCTTTAACCTAACCAAATATTCGCAGGAGAGTGAACTGTCCACTGAATCACATAATCACATGTATCTAAACTTCTTGTCGACAGCATATGGCGACTACTGTCCCAGTAGACGCCAAAAATGCATTGCAGAGAATTTTGTATAATAGCTTCGGTTTTTAGGGATATGCAACTAAATCTGAAAAATATAAGCAGAATTTCGACGTTCCGAGCGAAGGCCCTTCGTCGGGAATTATATAGTTAGTTGCCACAACTAGTAAGTACTAGTAACAATCACTAACTACCCGACGAAGGCCCTTCGCCCGAAATATCGAAGTTCTAACTTAATTCTGCATGTTTATATTTTTCACATCGCTAAGACTCGGTACTTCGAGTGCATATTATTTTAACATCGAAGGCGCCCTCTTTGTTTCCTAAACACATTAACATATGCCCTTTTACAGAAACCAGTTATGTTGTAAATCAAAGTCTGGATCATTTAGTCCGACCATATCCACTTCTTGTTTTTCATTTATTGTATATTATACAAATAATAATGGTAAAATTTTTTCTATAATAAATCGTTCCTTAGGGCGGAAGTTAGATAAGGAATTTTAAACAAGCCTGTGACCTTACTAAATTGTTCCTTTGGGTGCGTCTATAGGAATGATTGCAATTTGGCTACAACCTCATATAAAATAAACAACTTATCATATAGAGCCCGGTAATAACGCGTATATTTCCTAATTTCCACGGTGAGCTGCCGGTGTATATATTAATTATATATCGTGCGTCTCCGCATGTCCGGTGCAGGACACTTACTGAGTCTGGTTATGGATTATGGTCGTAAAAATAGAGTCGCGATCTTTCTCAAAGGTACCCTGGAAGCCAGAGGGTTGTTTTCACCTCCTTTATTGAGCTTTTCCTCTTTCTTCGCGTGGTTTCTCCTTTCTCTTCGCGCGTTTTCTCGCAGTTCGCGTTCGCCAAACCTAAAAACCTCTGGGCCAGGGTATCTCAAAGGCTAGTTTATAAAAAATAGTTTATACATGTAAACCACGTTCATATAAGTATTCTCTAGTTATAATCGCTCGGCGTATTTTCACTAGTTCTCAAATGTTGTGATTTCGGCTGATGAGAAAGATCGTGACTCA